GATGTGCACCGCAATGCCCTTTGCCCTTTCTCCAGCCTCTGCTCTGAGGTTGTAAGCTGCCTACCCAGTCCCACAGTGGCCTCTTCCCTCCTAACCCTCCCCACAGGCCCCACAGACTTTGTTAGTTTCTGGCCAACCAGGATTTTTCATCTCTCCTCTCCCTGCCCTCCTTTTCTTGCCCCCCCCCCACCATATTGTACCTGGTCCCGTTCAGTCCCGGGGACCCATTGTCTCAGCTTGGAAGCATCCAAAAAGGGATGGAGATGTGGGTGTGAAACACAGGAGAGGGGCTGGGCTGGGCTTGCCCCAGGAGGATGGGGGTGGGGGGGTGCAAAGATACAGTGGAGGCAGGGCCTGACGGTGGGATGCTAACCCTCTTCAGTCGCCTCAGATCACGTTCGGGCCTCCCCACCCCCCTTCGCTGGGACTCTCATTAACCGCTTCTCCTGCCTCGTCCGCAGCATAAATAACCCAGATAAATCAGCCGCCGTCCGCCCCCCGCCCCTCGGCCCCCGCACAGCCCGTTTGTCACCGCTGCTCGCTCACCAGCCAGGCCTGGCCTAACCCTGGCCCGGCCCCTCCATCCTTATCCCTTCCCACCCATGTCTGTCCCACACTGGCTCATCCCTTGGTCCACACCAGGGCCAGGTGTCTGGGTGGGGAGGGGGGCAAGGGGTGTCCCTGAGAATAGGGGAGGCTGGGGACTGTCTAGGAGTTTGGGTGTCATGTAGTTTATGAATAGAACCAGCTAGGTAGGCAGTCTGGGGATCAGCTTGGAGGTCCCTGTGCTGAGGAGGAGCTCCCCAAGTTGGATCTTGGGAGGTCTTCAAGCTTCCCTTAGGGGCATTTTGCCCCAAATGTCCATGCCTCCTCTCAGGGCCCTGAGCCATGGGGTCCTGCCCTCCCGGTCATCCCCCTCAGCCCCTGCCTCCCATCTGGTGCCCTGCCTAGTCACTCTAATCTCCACCTGCCAGTCTATCTACCACTTTCTTTCTCACAGCAGGAGCCTAGTTCATCCCCTGGTGGGTAGAGGCCTGTGGAGACTGGAGCTGGGAACAAATCTGGGGAATGAGGACCATGGGAGGGTCAGGAGCCTTGGCTAGGGCTTCTGTGTTCTGACCCTGGAACACCCCCTCCCTGTGCTCCCAGTCCCCATTGCCCCCACCCAGCTCAGATCCTGGCTGGCCACACTTGGCCCTGATGCTTCACTATGAGGGGCAGCTGGTCCCCCGGGAGTGGGAGGCCGCAGCAGGGAGGGATGGGGGAGCTTGGGCGCAAGGCTAGGGTGGGGGTGGGGAAGAAGCTGGGCTGGGCCCCAGGGACCAGCTGGGCAATGAGCCGGGGAAGCAGCCGGGAGGCTAAATGAGGGAGATTATCACCCAACTGCAGCCGGGCAGAGAGGGAGGCAGGCAGGGAAGCGGGAAGAGGGAGGGGAGAGGGGATGAGGCCAGAGGAGAAGGGGGTATGGAGGGACTGGGAGTGGGGGCTGGAAGAGATTGGAGAGGAGGGAAAGGTCAAGAGATGAGCTGAAAGGATGGGGGCACCCACTGAGCATAACCACATTCCTGGAGGTCTGGGAGCCTAGATGGTAGGGACTTAGGGACAGTCACAGAGAGCTGGCCATGGGGCATTGATGGGATGTGCATGCGGTTAACTGCTGCTCCACATCCCAGCAGCCTGGCAGTCCCTCACAGCCCCCAGCCCCCTGTTCCTCCATACCCAGTGACCACCCAACTTCATTCCTTATAGAAGTCAAAGCCTTCCTGCCATCCCTCAGGAGGAAAGAGGGTGTGATTTGAGCCGATGGATGAAGGCTAGTATGTTGTGGGGAGAGTGTGACCCCAACATCTCAGTGAATGGCAAGGGAATTTGGAGATATATGCAGAATCCAGGCAGCAGCGGGTGCTGGGGTAAGGTTGGGGGGCAGCTCCCTGCTTTCTTGGCAGAACCCCAAACTGAAATAACCTTAAAAAAGCAATTAAATCACCTCTTTTAAAAAACCAGTAAAGAAAAATCAATATTGGGAGAAAGGGGAAGAAAGAGAAAGATGGGGAGGAACAGTGGGGAGAGCTCTGCAAAGTCTGAAAGTCTACCAGGGAGGGAAGAGCATGGAAAGGGTCTGCCTGGGCAGGGGGCCGGGTGGGGGGCGTTTGTAGCCACTTGGACACTCTCAGTGCCAATTCAGCAGCTGTTTCCAAGCCAACTCCACTTTCCTCTCTGGGACACTGTGTCCCTCTCCGCCAGATGCAGCACCTGACCCTAGGGGTCTTATCTGCCTGGCTGGGAGAGTCAGCTAACCCAGACTCATCCAGGCCTGAGGGGAAGCCCAGGTGAGAGCCCCCTGAGGAAGCCACTTTGCAGAAAGCCTAGGGACAACCTAGCCAGGGAACCACACGTGGCTAAGGTTGGATGTGTGGGCAGGCTCTATACTGGAACAACCCTGATGGAGCCTGACCTGGCCTTGCAGCCAGGGTGAGCAAAGTGGCTCCCTGCCCCCAAGGGAGCCATCCCTGGGTCTCTCCCCTGGGGCCAGGCCTGACGCAGGGGGCGGGGTGGCTATTGGGCAGCCGGTGGACCTCGGGCTCTAATCCCCAGCAGCTGCCGTTTCCCTCAGATCGATTCCTTCTCACTTTTTTTTCAGCTGCTGGTTCCGCGGCTTGGATCGATGGAGCCGCCTCCCTCCACCCCTCTGAGCTTCCTCTCCCTGCTGCTCATTAGTGCCCCGATTAATCAGCCCCCCTTTCCTCCAGGGGACAAGTGCTTCCTCCCCCGTAAGGGCTCCTGCTCTCACATGGCCCCCAGAACACAAGCGACTCACCCATGCCACCCCCACCCTGAGGGCACCGAATGATGCATCTCCCCCAGCCAGCCAACAGAGGTTCCCAGGCTAGCCTCTGATGACTGCCCACATGCCTGCTTCCCCTCCACAAGCGCACAGCGCTCCCCCCAACATGCCCCACTCTGCCAGGTGGTCAGGCATCTCTTGCATCTGTTTCCTTAGAGCAGCGTTCCTTCCCACTGCAGCCCAGCACATCTCCCTGCTCCCTTCAACACCCCATGGGACATATCCTCCCCCCCCTACTGCACACCCACTCCCCCTCCGTGTGAGAGCCCCCCACATCACACCTCTCCTGTCCTTGGTTTATGTACCCAACACCCTTCCTCCAAGCCTGGTTGTGGCAAAGGATCTGGGAAACATTTGGGGAAGCAAAGTGGCCAGTGATGTGAAAGTCAGCCAGAACACCCTGTCCCGGACTCATGAGTAACTGAGGCTGGGGTTGGATGCACAGTGGGAGACTGCAGAGGGTCAGAGGCATGGTGGGTGTTCAAGTTGGGAGCAAAGCTTTAGGGAAACCAGAGAATCTTGGTGGAGTCATGGTTGTCCTCTAATCTGTCTTGTCTTCTCTTCACTCCCCTCCTTCATTCAAACAAGTGGCTCTCTCAAAGAGTTTCTGGAAGCTCCTGTGAATGGGGTAGCTGGGTCAGGTGGTGGCTGGGTTCTGGAGTCAGGCAGGAGTCAGGGAGGCCAGGATGTGGGGAACAGAGTTGGCTGATTCCTCCTGGGCGTGGTCCCAAAAAGTGCAAAGTATGAGCTGAGTACTGGGCGCAGCACTCTTTCCTGGGTGGCAGGGAGTGGGGACATCTGGGGACCCCACAACAACTAGGGTAGAGCAAGAGTTTGGGGGCAGCCCCAGTCCTGGGATCCCTGTCTGGGCTGGGGGCTGCCCCCTCCCCTGGTCCGGCTCCTACCGCCCATGCTGCCGGTGAAGCGCTGTTGACATGTCCTGAATTATTAAGCACGGGGTGGGCTCCGGAGCACATGCTGAGCGGAGCGGCTGGGGCTGAGCGGCGTGGCGGAGCAGTGCTCGCTCCCTCGCTCACTCGCTCGCTCGCTCGCAGGGACACACGCAGGGGCTGACAGCTGTGCTGGTGCTGATAAGGGAAGCCACAAGGAGACGATCGAGGAGAGAGACAAGCGGCAGAAGAGGCAGCAGCGGCAGAGGCAGCACCAGGGCTGCGGAGCTGCTGGGAGTGGGAGTGACTCCCCCACCTCGGGCCCCCACCCTGTCCCCATCCTCTTCCCGCTTGCCCTGAGTTTAGAAGAGCAGCTGCTGCCACCACCACCACTCCGGAGGGCACCAGGGCTACTGGCTAGAGAGGGACAGGGGCAAGAAGGCTCTGGCCAGTTCCAGCAGCCGGGGACAGATGCCGATCGAGATTGTGTGCAAAATCAAATTTGCTGAGGAGGATGTGAAACCCAAGGAGAAGGAAGCAGGGGATGAGCAGAGCCTCCTGGGGGCTGCTCGGGGGGCAGCAGCCCCCCGGGACCTGGCCACCTTTGCCAGCACCAGCACTCTGCATGGGCTGGGTCGGGCCTGTGGCCCAGGCCCCCATGGACTGCGCAGGACCCTGTGGGCACTGGCCCTACTCACCTCGCTGGCTGCCTTCTTGTACCAGGCAGCAGGCCTGGCCCGGGGCTACCTGACCCGGCCTCACCTGGTGGCAATGGACCCCGCTGTCCCAGCCCCAGTGGCAGGCTTCCCGGCGGTCACCCTCTGCAACATCAACCGCTTCCGGCATTCGGCACTCAGTGATGCCGACATCTTCCACCTGGCCAATTTGACAGGGCTGCCCCCCAAAGACAGGGATGGGCACCGTGCTGCTGGCCTTCGCTACCCCGAGCCCGATATGGTAGACATCCTCAACCGCACTGGCCACCAGCTTGCCGACATGCTCAAGAGCTGCAACTTCAGTGGCCATCACTGCTCCGCCAGCAACTTCTCTGTGGTAAGTTCTACCACCCTGGGCTGCTTGGCCTGGGGTGGCCAGAGGCTGGGGGTGGGTGGGCAGGGAGAAGTGATGGCAGTGGTGCACAGGGGCTTCCTCAACAGGGCTTTCCTTCCTTCCACCACCAGAGGCTGGCCTCGTGTCTCCCTGGAGCCTGGTGTTTCCCACTGGCTTCCCAGCCGTGGAGCAGTGGACGGCACACAAGGGCTTACCCTGGGGCTGCTGCTCCTCTTCCTGGCTAGGCTGCAGCTGCAGTGTCCAGTTCTGAGGGCTGGGGCAGGGTGTCCTGGGGGCGGGCCCAGGTGTCCTGGAGCTGGTCAGTGTGGAGGGAAGGGATGCACCATCCCAGGGCCAGATCAACTGACTCCCACTTTTCTCTTGTTCCCCTTTTCTTCTGAGGCTACTGGATTCTTCTCCCCACCAAATCAAGCTGAAAGGGAGGGGTGCTTGGGGGGCTCCAGCTAGGGAAGGACTCAGGGTTGTCTCCTGGGGAGCTGGCCTGGCAGGCAGGCTGGAGAGAGCCGGTCTTCATGCACACTGGGTGCCAATGTCTCTTCTGGCCCTGTGTCCCTCACACACACCCCTTCACAGACTCCCTCACACATCCCTCTTTCATTCTGCCCCTCCAGCTCTCCGGCAGGCCAGTCCCCCTCCGCTCCCCTGTCCAGCCCTGGCTCTGGCACCAGGAATCATTGGTTCACTCTTATGTACATAACTCACCCTCACCACTGCCCTGGCACACACATGCATACACACACATCTGCTCAGGGACAGTTTCCTGCACACTCCATCTCACACACACACACACAGTGTCCCTGTCATGACACTCATGTGCACACCTGCACACCCACACACCCAGAGAGGTACTCACCTCTTTGCCCATATCCCAGCCATTGCTTAGCTGCCAAAGACAGAGTCACGCTATGGATGTCATACCCTCTGGTGACACCCCCACCCCCATCTATCCCAAACACTGCTCCCCATGTGGGGGCTGCTGGTGCCATCTCTCACCTACCTGTGAAGGTAAACACACTACCCTTAGCAGGAGTGAAGTGCTCTGGGGCTGCTCTCCCATGCACACCTCCCTCAGTCGGGATGTAAGGGGGGTGGGTGTGTCTTGAATGCTGTTTGTCTGTCTGTCAGTGCTTCATTCACCCAGAGTCACAAAGTATCTAGTATTCATGCATTCATGGTACTTGAGACGCCTGCCCCCATCCATAGTCTGCCCCCAGCATTGCGTGTGTGTGTGCACACGCATGTGTGTTTTCATCCTTGTTACCTCTGCCTGGTGCATATGCAAATGCATAGCACCAACATGGTGCCCACTCCAGCCCAGCAGCCAGCCCCAGTGATGGGGACCCCTCCAGGTTCTCCCTCACGTGCTTCCTCAGTGTCACCAGGGAATATGCTCCAACTAGGCTCCTGGCCCCCACCATGCGTGCAGCATCAGGAATGCCAGTGGGTGGAGGAGTTAAGTGGAAATACAGGGGCAAAAGGGAGAAGACTGTGCAGGAACAAGAGTCAGGGGGCATTGGCCTGTCATCCAGATATACGGCCCCTCTCCTAGGAAAAATCACTTTTTCCCGAAGCCAGGGTTGGGAGAGTCCCCAATGAGGAAATGGGGTGTGGGGTGTGAGTGTAGCCTTTGGGGCCCATGGGACTCCTCTATCCTACTTGTCTTGGGGGATGGGCAGAGCCCAGTCTCAGCAGGTGCTGTTGGGGCAGAAATCAATGGGGTCTTTGTGTTTCTGAGTGGGAGTTTGTGTCTCAGGCCCTGGTTGGGGTGGGCAGGAAAGGGGAAGGGTGATGTGACCTGAGTGAGAGAGGGAAGGGAAGGAAGGGATGAACGGGAGAGGAAGCAAGGGTGGGGGTGGGGTGGGGCAGTGGGGAGGCAAAGCTTCCTGCCTGGCCTCTAGGAGAGCAAGAGGCACTTGGAGGATACAGGAACAGGGAGGCCGGTGAGTCCCTTGGAATCCTGGGGGTGGCTGGGATGAGCAAGGCTGGATTTCCCACAGGCCCTTCGGTATCCAGGGGCTGGAAAGAGGAGGAGGGCAGGAGTCTGGGGCTCACAGCTTGGGGCTGAGGCGGAATAGTGAGGGCAGAAGGGCAAAGCAAGCACCAGAGGCAGGACTTCCCCTGCAGGGTTCCTCCAGGTCTCCAGCCCGGTCTCATACCTTCTGTCCACATCATGCCCATATGCTGACTGTAATGTTACCTTGGACCTGGCATTCTTGGGCTGATTCTGCAGCAAATTCACCAGGGTTTGGAATTATGGGTTGGGATGGGGGCCCATGATCCATGGCAATAAGGAAGGTGGGCGTATTGTGGGGCAAGGCTAGAGAGACATGTAGACGAGGACATGGGGTCTGTCATGAGGATCCAAGGCCCATACTTAACTCAAGTGGGGATTTGGGGTCTACAGTGGGGAGATGGGTATGAGAACCAGTTGGTGGGAGCCTGCCAGGGTAGGGGTTTTGAGATGGTCAGAGACAGGCTGGGCTTTGGTAAGGGGCTCATTGTGTTTTCTTTTGCTTTCCCTGTTTCCTCCCTCCCACTCCCCACTCTGCTGTGACCTTTCCTCCGGAATCCAAGTTAATAAATGTCACATTTTCCAGCCTATTTTTACTCTGGGTAATGCACCCTCCCCCAGTCCCCTCTGCTGCTGCTCTTGCTTCTGTTACCACTGCATTTGCTCTCCCCCCATGCTCCCTAATATCCCCTCATGTACGCCCAATCAGTCAGCCAATCAATCAACATGGGGTTCTGAGTGCCTACTATGTCTTGGGCTCCCTGCTCAGAGCTGGGGGGACAGCAAAGAAGGGAAGTTCTGTCCCCAGTCCCTGTCCTCAAGCAGCCTACAGTCTTGTGGAGTGGGGACAGGGACACTCAAAAGCTTAAGCAACCATGCAAGAGTTAATCAGCCATGCAAACAGTGTCATCAGGTGTCAGGATCAATTGTCAGACAAAGTGCATGGGTTGGAAGAGCCACCTGAGTTCAGAGAGAGGCCACTCTGGGCTGAGGAGCACTGGGGAGGCCATAAGGGATGAGGAAGGCAGGGAATCATCTGGGGAGAAAGAGAAGAAAGGGCCCTGAGTGGTGGGGCATGTTTCCCTCTCCACCCTTGCTACCTTCAGCTAGCTCACCTCAGCCTTTCTTTTTTTTTTCTCTTCCCTCCTCACTCAGACTCATACCAACCCACTCCCATCTATGCCTCCTACTTTTAGCACTACCTGTATGTCCACAGCCCCAGCCTAGTAGTTGGCTTTCCCTTCCACCCTGTTTTCTGCCACCATCTTCCCTCCTACCCCCATGCTCTGTGCCCAGCTGTACTTTCTCCACTGTAGCTTGCTCTCAGCCTACCCTGTTACTAGAAGACACAAATCACTCTTCCTCCCTAGACTTCATTTCTTGAGTTATAAAATGCAAGTGTGGCTCTAACATTCAGCATTTCCTCTCAGCTGGGGACTGTACACTGGAATGGTCCAGACAGCGTGTGCATTCTGGAGCTGCCTGACCCCCTAGATTGGAACCTCCATTCTACCTGTTAAACTTTGCAACTACAGGGAAGCCAAAACACCTTTGTGAGCATGTTTGTGTACTTATTAAATAGGATATTAGAAACTAGAAATGTGAAGGTTGGTGGAAGGATTCAAGAGATGTTTGTAAAGAGCTTAGCACACTGCTTGGCACACACATTATATGTAGTCATAAGTGTCAGCTATTATAAATGTCACCACCTGAACTCCTGGCTGTCTTTGACCTAACTGTTGACAGCACTACCTACTGGTTTCCAACCCATACACAGGCATCACCACTACTCTCCATTGCCTAGTCTTCCCCTGCCTTTGGCCCTCTGCCCTGTTCTAGCATTCCCATTCTATTCTGCCTTCCCAAATATGCATGCACATGTACATAGGTGCAGGAGTGTGCACACACTGTCTGGATCAGAGCTGGCCAACAAAACACCCTGTGATGATGGAAGTGCTCTGTGTCTATGCTGTCCAACTTGGTAGTCACTAGCTACATGTGGCTATTGAGCACTTGAAATGTGATTAATGTGACTCTCTCTCTCTCTCTCTCTCTATATATATATATATATATATATTTTTTTAGACAGAGCTTCAAGCTGTCCCCCTGGGTAGAGTGCTATGGCTTTACTGCTCATAGCAACCTCCAACTCCTGGGCTCAAGCGAGTCTCCTGCCTCCGCCTCCCAAGTAGCTGGGACCACAGGCGCCCGCCACAACGCCCGGCTATTTTTTGGTTGCAGCCATCATTGTTGTTTGGCGGGTCCGGGCTGGGGATTCGAACCCGCCACCTTAGGTGTACGTGGCTGGCGCCTTGGCCGGTTGTGCTATAGGCGCCGAGCCACAAAATATATTTTTAATTCAAACAGCCACACATGGGTAGGGGCTGCTGCCTTGGATGCCACAGCTCTCTATGGCCCTAAGAATGAGGTTTAGACAGCCTGTGTAGGGTTTGACTGGGATCACAACTGAGACCAAAGAATGTAAGGTGAATGGCTGCAGGCTGTGACTGGAAATCAGGCTGTCTACTCTCTGGACTGAAGTCCTAGGTTGAGCTGAGGCTGGAACTTGGGGCTGGGGGCTGGGGGTATTGCAGTGTCTGGGAATACTAAGCAAGCAAAGATAACTTTCTTCCTAAGTGCTGGAAATGACCTTGGTCCTATACATTCTACTATCTGTAAAATTGAGGCATGGAGGTGGTATAGAATCCTTGAGGAGGCTGGGGTAGGACCTAGCCACTCTCCATAGGGTCCTCAAGAGTCCAGGCAGCCCATGAAGGACTAGGAGACCAGGGCCCTGTGAGTGCCTTACATCCCCTCTGGGCTCTCAGGCTTCCCTCCCCCTCCCGACCCTCCTTCCCCACATGCTGGCGACTGCCATGACTATTAATCACTCGCCCTGTTCTCTTCCTCTCTACTAATCAGGCACAATTAGACAAGGCCTCTTCCAGCTGGGCAGTCCCCCCTGCCCTCC